GGTCAGAGTTTAGTTCAACAGGGGATGCGCTCAGGGGTCCTCCTAGGAGACTTTCATAAACGGGTCCGGGCTCGGACGGGCGCTGTCCGCGGTGCTGAAACTCACGATCTAGGGCAGCTGGGCTTGGGAAGGTAGGGGGAACGAGGAAGGGGGCGGCTGTAGAGAGGGCTAGGCTTCAAAGAGCACCCCTTTGACCCGCAGGAGTGAATCTTCTGTCGAAACCCAAAGGGCCAGTCCTTAAGTCCTCTTCCTAACGATCTCCCAAACTGATTCCCCTGAGCCTGGAAAAGAGCCACAAATTGAAGACCTCACCCTCTCTGCCCACCCGCCCTCCAGCTATTTCAGCCTTTTCTTCCCCGAGGAGAGCTACTTCCTCTGCCTCCTCCTGTCTCTGACTTTGCTCTCTTCTGTCCAGGGTCCGGGTAGTTTGGGGGGCTGGGGGTGGGGGGACTCCTTTACACAGGCAGAGAGGAGTCACCACAAGCAACCGTCTAAGTTTGTTTTGGCCACATCCCAGCTGCTGTCGGAATCTTGAGGCACAGTCTGCAAACACACATACACACTCACACACACGCCCGCACGGAGCAGCCGGCCCCGGGTACACACCGCTGCGGCTCAGGCAGCGCAAAGTTGGTGGCGCGTTTCCGTCTAGGCGCTCCTACCTTCCCTGCGTTTCACAGGTGAGCCGGGCGTTGCCGCCTCTCTGCAGAGGGATGTGTCCGGGGCTTTTTCTGGAGGTTTCCTTCCCGTCTCTTTTCTGTTCCCACTCTCTTTTTTCTCCTCTCTCCTCTTTCTCCTCAGTCTCTCAACGAACTTGGGCTCCGAGTTTCTCCACCCCAGAGCCCGGAGTGGGATTTTATAGCCTCGACCCTCTTCAGAAAGCACGCAGCATTTGCCTAATAAGCTGACGCTCTCTTGACAGCTCGATTGCGTGCTGCCTCTGCTCCTGCATAAATCATAGGGCCCTGCCAAGGAGCGAGGGGCAGAATTTTGCTATCTCAACACTGAATCTCACATCCAATTATATCAACAGATATTTATCGCCTCCTTGGTGACGTCAACGAGCCCTAAAATGGAAGGGCTTCTTATGACTTGTCCATTGACAAAAATTCTTGAATGAGATTTCCCGAGTGTGAAAACACACTGACCTCTTACTATGAAAGGCCAAATATGGGGTCGAAAAGAGACAGCGAATGGGAACGGAGAGAGGAGAAGGGGAAGTAAAGCAGGTCTGCCAGTGCAGGCCTGCTGAGAATACAACAGCTTGCTGGGGGCTCTGCATCCCCCTTGTTCCTCCTAACCTCTCAGACAACACCTCAGCATCTGAAAATACCCCGTTGCTAGAGACAGGAGTGCCACCACCCCCCTGCCTGAAAGAGAGCAAAGAACGAGGAGATGAGTGTGCAAGGACATTCAGCTTTTAAGCTTCTGTCTGCCTTTTTCTCTTAAGACCAGGTAAAAGAATGAAGGGTTTGTAGAGGAAGACTATTAAGTGTCTTGAAAAGCAGTACAAGTTTTCTAAATGATAACAAAAGCTACTCCTGTGATGAAGATGTGCAAACGGGTCAGTCAGAGATGCAGCAAAGATTTCAGGCTCTCTCTCAGTCCTCCTTCAGAATCTGCAATCAATTGTGGACTTTCCTTTTTATTCTCAAATTAAAGAGAAGGCCAGTGAGGGGTACATGAATCAAATAATCTTTACTTAGTCTACTAGATGCAAACTCAATGAGAGAAGACTTCCCGTTCTATGTTGGGGGAAAGCTTAAACTGCTTAATAACGGACTGAATTCATCAGTTGCATGTTTTCATTGATGGACACTGAGTCTGTGAAAAGTTAATCTCATTCATTTCACCTCCAAATACTATCAGCATCCATAATAGGATCTTTATCAGGAATATCCAGGTTGTTATTTTTTTATTATTTCTTTTTCTAAATTCAAACGCACTGCAGATGAGCCTGATAAATTGATGCTCTTTGGCACTACCGCAGAATGGAATGCTAAGCCTATACAATCACACTCACATTTTGAATTCAATTGACATTATCATATAGGTGGGAGGCAGTTACCTCTAATTCTGCAATACAAAATGCTGTTCCAAACTCTGGTGTCTGTGACTCAGTTCAGCTTCCAGATAACCACCAGAGTTGTTTATCAGACATTTCCTGTTCCTCATTTCTTGTTACCTCTGCAGCTTCCTTTGTAGCTAACATGACAAATGATGCAATGCATATTTCAACTCCTATTTGGGTCTATAATCCACAACTGCTCTTAGAAACAAAAGGAAGATAGAAAGAAAAATGCCGAGAGTTTCCTGAGAAATCAGCCCGTAGTTAGATCATTGCACTATGGAATTTACTTTAGACATATGAGAATGAAGAAAGAAATGTGTCTAATGGGAAAGAAGTGAGCTGTTACATAATTACAGAAAGTGATCACACTTCTGGAAGGAAACTGTTTTACACTGGTAAGGAAGCATACAGAACTATAGTTTTTTACTATGGGTTTCGTTTTTTTAAGTTGGAATGGATGTCAACATTTCGGCTTACCTTTCCTTGTGACCCCTTCTCTGTTCCCACTGGCAGATCTCAGGTTAGAAAAACCACTTTTGCAGGTGAAAAGTAGACTTGAAAGGGGAAGTTGCAGGTAAATGAATGCAGAAGAGGAACTAGGAAAGACATATGTCCATGAACTTAGCTGAGGAGGCCTGGGAGTTTCCTCCAAAAAAGACACAGAGCAAGTTTTGGACTCTGATTAGCCCCAGCCCCTTCAGATCTCCCTCCCATTAGGCCATCTGAGGAATGTAGTTTTAGCTCTCTTGTCACTGTTGAGTCCTTGCTGGGAGGTTTTCCTGGAGTAAGACGTTGGTGAGGCCCAAGCAGCTCCCACTGAGGGTGACGAACAAAAGTCCTGGACCCCAGAGAAAAAGGGGCTGTGCAGAACATCCCTCACTCACTACAATTTATTCCAAAGTTAGATCTCCTTAAACTACTGAGCATTCATTCATGAAGAGATTACCTGGTTTAAAAAGAGAACCAGAGCGGTTAAGTGACTTACCTATAGTCACGGCTAGTTAATGCTAAAGTCAGAACCAGAACCTAGTTCTTTGATTTCTAACTCAAACTGCTTTTATATTATAAAAGTACCCTTTTATAACATGAACATGAACAAACTGAGGTGAGAGGATGACGTTAAATAGAGCCATAGTCACACACCAACGCTATGGCTTCTTCTCTTATATCGATAAATCTCCTAAGGCGCAAGAATTCAGAGATTCTCCATGCATGCTGATGCACGCCCCTGGCACCTGCTTTCAAATCTCTGTGTGCACACACTGCAGCTTCCCTTCCAGCTGAACCTTGTAATTATGGTAGGAGGCTTTTAAATGCATTGCCAACCTGAAATGTGTGCATTTTGTTTTTCCACCATAGGTGTCCTTTGAGCAAAGTGATCTTTTGGTAAACTGTGAAAGGTTTTTGCAATAATAATACAGACGTGACTGGAGAAATAACATACACAGATCATTTATATTTTCTTTGGATATTAAACTAAAAAGTCAGGTCCATAAAACTTGCCATTAATAAGTCTGATCTTACATGTAGAGGAAACGTCTAGGAAAAAAATGATTGAAGAACCAGTTAAAATCCTTTTGTAACCTAGAAACAATCCATGAAACATGGGCATGAAAACAGGATCAATTCATATGTGAGAGCTTCAAAAAGTTCATGGAAAGTAAGTATTACTACCAAAATAGAAAAAAGAAAAATAAACTATGTATACTTTTTCGAATTATTTTTTCCAGAAATAAACTTGTACTTTAATCCTATTTTCCCTCAAACTTTTTGAAGTATCCTCATACAGTAGATAATATTTTTGAATAGCAACGTAACTACAGTATAGTTAAATAATATACAGTGTGGTTAAAATGAATAGACAATTGAATAAAGACATGTATCAAAAAAAAAATAGGTAACTGCTTTGCATATTTCTGCCACCTGTATCTCCTGTACCTTTGCATGCCTGCTAGCAGAGCTCATGGCAAACGAAGATAGTCTCTGTGTGCTCTTTGAAATGTTCACGGAAATGAATCTATCATCTCCAAAGATGGCTTTCAAAAATGCTTAGGATGGACAGGTGGTTTTGTAACTGTTCATAACTGTGCTTTAGATAGACTAATAACAACTTTCTGCTTCCACGGGAGGGCTAGGCAAAGGCTCTCAAAACACACAACTGTCTAACTGCTTCACCCATAGCAATAACTTTTAGAAGTCTCTTTTGATTTGCAAAGCTATACATCCTCCTTGTAGAGAAACTGGGGGAAAAAACTGAAACCATACAAATATAAGATTCTCAGAATCCTAGAATCTGAAGAGAATCTCAATTAATGCCTTGTTGTTTCACTTGAGTATTTTTCCTGAGGTCATACATTTTATGTGTTGAGGAAACACTGTTTTTAATTGTGAATCTCTCCTTTAAAACCTTTTTTTTTTTTGAGAGAGAGAGAGAATTTTTTTGCTATAGGGCACATGCACTCACCAGAGAGACAAAGAGACAGAAGGTGAGAAACCACCCCTTGAGAAGATGGCTACACTGCAATCCCTTCTCCTCCAGTCTTCTCTTGGGATTTTGGGCACACATGCATACGCATCAAGCATGAGTTTTAAGCCACCAGGTCCAGGTCTCGAACCACAATCCACTATGTTGGAATCCAGTGATATAACCATTATGCCATCTCCTGGTCCTAACACCTTATTATTTTAAAACTTAAATTAGTTTAGGGGCTCATCATGGTTGTACAAGTGGTAAAGCAATACTGTGGGAAGTTGAGGCCACACAGGAGGACCAAGTTCAGATCCTGAGCCAACTTAAAACAGTATGTGCAGGTAATACTGGCTAACAGGAGGCCAAGGCAGAAGATCACAATGGCAAGAC